TAGTGAATTAGTCTACTTCTTTAAGAAATTTTATGCCGAAATTTGAATATTTTTGCGAATATTCAAAAAATGCAAATTGCGAAGCATCGATGTAAAAATTGTGTGCCTTTTTAGAGACAGACCCTGTTACAAGGCATTAGAAGTTTTAAAAAGGATATAGTTGCTCATTATCCTATAACGAAAGAGTAGGCAGGAGTCTATTTTTTGACCATGTGCACAGAAACGCCCTATCGACCCAAACGGGTTTTAATTTTCATCCAACTTACTAATGCGATAAATCGGAAGATTAATAAGATGCTTAAAGGTCTTTCTAGTCCTATGCTAATCGATTCAATATTTAAGTACTGCAGGTATTAAAACTACAAGCACTAAGACGAATAATGTTCCGAGCGGACAAACAACCCTGTCGGGCAACCGATTTTCATTATTCAATTACGATTATCTTTTAGATCCCCTTTCTTACTGCAGGATACCGAATATTAGCCAAAAGTATGAAATTGGCATTTAAAAGATGTAAATGTCTTCGGGGAATTAAGTACATTCACAAAACAGCCCTTTATATACGTGCAAGTCACTCAGTGCCAATACACATGACTGGATTGGTACCATGAAAAGTGAAAAAAAAAACTTATTAATAGGTAGGCGGATTATGTGTCCAAATATGAGGAGCAGAAATCAGAAGTGCTACTCCAGTCCCAGCTGAAAAATGCGGAGGCTCTAACACAGCGGCCAGTGCACAGTAGATCTTACGGCAGTGAGTGCCTTACTATACTCACCGAGGGTATACCATGAAATACCATCCCATATTTTGATCAGAAGGCGGGTTTATACAGAAATCATTACATAATGGCGATTTATTCTCGGTAAAGTCCGGAAGCAAACAGCTTTCTCGATGGAGAGTTTGTGAATAAACTCAGCAAGCCCTCAGCTCTAATAAGTTTCATGGGAAAATCCAAGCAACCGAATGAGGAGAATCGGTAAGGTATAAAGGCTGACTTCTTATCAGCACATTATGAATACCCACAAGATCACCCAACCTTGGTCTTTATTGACTTGATACCCTATAAGCCTTATTTCGGTGGGTCCAGCCGCAAATTTAATGACCGACGCAACCTTGCACCTCAATATAATTTGAAATATGCTAAATTATCACGTTCTTAGGGGATAATGGCCGAATCCCGACCCTATTGTTCTCGTTTGCACAACCCGACGTGCCAAATTTGTACTTTCGGCTACATCAAGTACCTCTTGTGGGTGATGTGAGGCACAGCGCATTTACCTAACTTGTGAGCATATAGTTATGGGTGTTTAGACAGGAGCTTCGAGTAAGGTGCGTCACGATCCGAACTTATTCACAATCCAGCCTTTTCATGTAGTAACATAGAAAAAGTTTCGCTGGTCCCAAACAATTGGCCCTCAGTTCTATGTAAAAATGTTTTTACATTAATTCAACCGTGCGCAATATCGAGCCGTCGTCGCTTTCATATTTTTGATGGGACTGGTACGTCACTCCCGATTTCTTGTAGCGCCATCAACGAAGCTGATCTCGATAAAGGGCAAAGGGCATTTTCCCCTTTTTTTAATATGTAATTCCGAATTAATGTTTCTTCAAGAAGCAACACTTTTATTTACTAGATGTCAATTTTTACATCTGAAGTGAGTTTGGAAATCGACGTAACAAATACCATCCAAGAAACCCCTTTGTCACATTGGGATGGAAAGACGCAGGATCATGACTATGTTAAGCTTCATTTTACCTGTAAATACTACAGCTAACCAGCTGCACTCAGGCCTCTTAGTGACTTCAATCCACCCCATTCGGTTGCTATGCTTATTGTGAACTAGTAGTTCTTCTCAATTGTGGTTTTTGGTCTGTTCGCGTTTTTAAATGCCATCCAAAAAGAATTTTCTTATTTATAAGTAGAAGATTGCACAGATCAATCGCTTGGATTAAATGGAAGATCTTAAAATGCATGCGAAACCATGAAAACTGAGCTTAAATGCTTCAAGCAAGACTTCTGTAAATTGGAATGTTTATAACGATACCCTGCAGCAACACCGCTGGAGTGGACAATGGCACGGTGTCGGTAACCAGCGTGGACGCAGGAAAAAACGTACGATAAGTCCACTTTGGTGGCTCGCATTGAAAAATAGCGAGTTACTAATTTATACTGATTCTCCTACGGTTCATTCCAAGAATGCATATACGGAAATTTGTATAAAGCCAAAGGCGATTAGACTGATTCCTGTCTAGAGGAATAATGCGACGCGAACTCAATGGAGACGGAAACACATGAAATTGAACACTAAACGAGCCGCTTGTTAAACTCAGAATCCACATGTAACAGCAGACGACAAAAAAATCAGAGCAAGGCCAAAAGATTTTCTCCCGAAAAATGTTCTACGGTGAGTTTCAGCAAATAAGGAGCGTATCAACATGGAAGCCTTGAGATTCTTGGTAATCCATTAACAACTGCCTATTCCGGACCCAGCACATTCTAATTCTACCTGATACCCGACTTCAGTGATGACTTAATGCACCTCACGGACTTAGGTGAGACTCTTGACTATTCATTTGACGTTGAAAGACAAACTACTGGAATAAACCAAATAATCTCGGGCTAAACCTTAAGAGTGTAAGAAGGGTAAAACTCCAATTAATAAAGTGTTTCTATTCCAAAGTACGGGCAATAAAATCAAATCGGGCAATACACGCAGCAAAACTTCCCAATTTAAGACTGGTAATGAAGCTGAGACGACATAGATACCAAAACCATTAAATACTTACAAAAGAAGTAACTTAGTGAAACTTGTAAAATGAAGATGACTTCTACGGGACATCAGTATTCGATTATAATAAAGGAAGAAAATTTGAGAGGAAACGTGAATTGTGTATAAAATGCTACTAATCACCGAGGAAACGAGTTGAATATCGGCAAAAGTTTAAACATGGAGGACAGATCGATGTTAAAAGAGTAAAAACGATCAACGTAAAATCGTAAAAATTAATTAGAGAAACAATCGTAGCAAACGCAATGGGTGCCGGACAATAAAGAAGGGAATAAAGGGGAACGCATAACGAACACTAAGGCGATTGTCACAAACAGGCATTACAAATATACAGTCAAGCAGTAAGCAGGCACATAGCAAGAGAGGAGACACAGAAAAAGCATACCAAGTTAAACCCGACTTATTCATATGATGAACTGGACTTTTAACATTCACAAATAAATGACAAAAACCTATAACTTTTCGACTTGTTTCTCCGCTTTCCCGGAAGCAACAGTCCCATCCAACTGAGACTCGCTTTCTACCGGCACACAGGCAAAAACCTTCTGCAGAAAAACGGTGCTCTTGTCTAAAAAGGAGCAAAAACAACTCAGGAAGGTTAATTAATGATTAAAGACATATACAATGGGCTGAAACAGATTCACTTACAAATAAAATCCTGGAAAGGCTTGGGCTTCTTTTTCCACGAAA